AATACAGAGTTTACATAGTTATTCACAAGCGTAGTTAGGTTTACAGACAATGTACAACGTAATTATATATCTAGTTAATTGTGTTCAGGTTTGTAAATATGGGGTTTTCTACGATATTCATCACATGACAAAACTCCTTGAAATTCATTTGAGAATGTGGTGAGCTACAAAAAGAAAATGTATGCATGCAGACTTTAAATAAATAAAACCAGCTTAAAGGGACTGTAAAGGAAAAATGAAAGGGGGTATAGGCTGAAAGCTAATCACTTTAGCTCTTGATCACGACCCATAAAAGTTTTATCTGATGTTCCTGTCTCGAGAAATTGATTTAAACTGTGTTAAAATTATACGAAAATTCATATATGTAAAATATAGAAAATCTTAAACTTAAATCACGTGACCAGAACTATCACCAATGGCAGAGCAGTATACTGGTCATGTGTCTCCGCCTGTCTCACGTGACCACTTTGCTGCACTGCAATTGGTGGAATTTCTGGTCAAGCAATACGGACGTATAAATAAAATTATGAATTAAATCTATAAAAATAGAAATAAAAAATATAAAATTAGAATTGGAGTAAACCTAAGTTACAATTAGCTTTCTCTGGGATATCATCGTTTTCAGATTGGTTGCATATTTACTAAATTTGATCTTTTTAAACCCACTACTTTTATAAAAAATTGTATATATATTAATTTTCGTATAAATTTGACAAAGTTGTAAATCAATTTCTCAAGATAGGAACACCAGATATAACTTTCATGGGTCGCGATCAAGAGCTAAAGTGATTAGCTTTCAGCCTATACCCCCTTTCATTTTTCCTTTACAGTCCCTTTAAGGACCAGGATGGGGGGGGGGAGGGACGCAGAGTTTTTTTTACTTAATCTTGACCCATTGCCTCCCCCCACATGCCGGTCTAAAATTGTGAAAAGCTTTTTAATTTTAATGCAAGTTGTACAATGTATATACTACGTACGTAAAAATAATCGAGTCCTGTTATTTCCAAAATGTGGTCTGTCTTTTTTTGTGCTGTAAATATTAACGGAGATGAAGAATTTTGTTTAGTCTTCGACAATTTCGGCTTTATTTAACAAATTAAATTCCGGATGAAATTCTTAATATTTTCGTTAATATTGAAAGCACAAAAAAAGGGTCCACATTTTTGAAATACCAGGACTAGGTGAATTTTGTGATTATTGTCTCTATAGAATTTTACTTCTAAAATTAGGTTTATGAGAGATTAAATACGACATTTCAGTCGTCTTCTTAATTTAAAACACTGTGGTAAAGCCTGATATGAGAACTTCTGGAATTATGAACAACTGCTCCCAGGATTAATAATATTTTTAGTTCGTATTTTGCTCTTGATATGATATCCATGGAGATGAAAGAGCTCCTGTTACCGCCTCGTCTGCAGTAAAAAAAAACATTTAGTACTCTCATACCGCTTGTACCCTACAATACAACCAAAGGCGAATTATGTGGGAATAGGGTGGGAAATGTGTATGAGAGGAATAAAGAGTTTAATAAAATTATTTATATTTTGACAAAGGAATTTATTCCTGGCAAAAAATTGTATTGTAAATCTTGTCCTCTTTGTAACTTGTTGTTGTATACAGACTTCAATTTGATTTTAGAAAATGGGTCCTCAAGGCGAGGACCCAGGATAAAGATAAAGAAGTTTACTAATTTCTAAAAATGACAAATTTGACCGAGATGAGTGTAGTGGAAACATTGCTAGAAGACGAGCTAACTTTTACATCAAGATTAGTTATATTTTTAGGTAACCGTGCACAAAAAGTTCTCAGAAAAGTTTTCAGAAATAAAGTCCTAATTATTTTGGCACTAAAGCGTCATGCGGAAAAAAGTCCTTGAAATAAAATGTCCTTGGAAATAAAGTGCTACCATTTTGAAAAATTAATTTTCTGGGACATTTTTCTGGTTCCAGTCTGATTTTTCTGGTTCTTGTCTGATTTTTCTGGTTCCAGTCTGATTTTATACAAAAATGTCCCCGGAAATCGGAATCAAAGTTTTTTTATAGTAGAAAATTCTTGCGAACAAAGAAAAAGGGCCTTGTTGTTAAAAACACTCCTGGCAACATTTAGTATGCAGATGCATAGAAAAACAGTTTTTTTATGAAAACGTCTCAGACGTGACCTTATTTTCAGAGGAATGAGAATTTTTTTATTGATCTTTTTTTCTTCGGATATATTTCTTTAGGAATTTAATTTCTGCGATCTTATTTCCTGAGACTTGAATAGCAGCCACCATATTATTTCAGAAAAAAGTCCCAGGAATCTAAAACTCAGGACTTTATTTCCATTGACATTTTGTCCGAGGACTTTAGCAAAGTTTTTATTCCCGTTTTTTTCAGAAACTTTTTTCCTGCGACTTTCTTATATAGATTCTATTTTTAGCATTTTCTTGTATGCTTGTTTTCTCCAACCTTCCAGCTGGAATGGTTAGGCTCTATATTGAATCCATCCCTGACATGAAGGAAATTAGTTTCTAAACTAACACTTGACCCACTTCTAGCACATGAATGTTAGAAATAGGCCAAATCTGCAACGTTATCTTTTCCCAGCGTATATATCTTTAAATGGTGCTAGTACAAACGCCGGACCCACAAACGACGGATGGAGCAAAGATCAGACAGTAAAAACGTCAGACTTACAAACCTCGGACTGGTACAAACGTCGCACTGGTACAAACGTCGGACTGGTACAAACGTCGCACTGGTACAAACGTCGGGCTGGTACAAACGTAGCACTGGTACAAACGTCGGATCCACATACGTCGGATGGAGCAAAGTTCGGGACAGTTAAAGCGTCGGACTTAAAAACGTCGGACTTGCACAAACGTCGGACTGGTACAAACGTCGCACTGGTACAAACGTCGGACCGAGACAAACAACGGACAAGTGCAACTGTCGAACCAGTACAAACGTCGGATGGGTACATTTATGAGGAAAATCTTCAGACTTTGGTTGAGTTTGAAAAAGGACCATTGTTATAAGAAATAAATTAAGTATCATTCCTTTATTATGATAAAAATCAAAGTTAACAAAAAAAGTTTTTGTTTAATAACTATCAATTTGATTATTTGATACTATTTATGCAATAACTTACTATTGAAATGTAATTGCAGTTATTAAATGGTACTCTTCAAATCCATACCGAGTTAAACAAAATTACATCATATATTTATAAAAAATGGCTAAACTATACATTGAAACAAAAATTTTCATCTTAAATCTAATAGTAAGATGAGAGAATATGTTATTGATGATACTTGATTTCATTTTCGAACATAACTATTTTGAAACAATTACCGCATTTCAGACCATGCAGCGTGTTTGTAAATTATACTGGTTTTAAGACAATTACTCGAATTAAAATTAATGTCAATTTTCAAGCATTTACAAACTAACGTTAATAAATGAGATTTTTAAATTTAGACACAATAAAAATGAAAACAAACTGTTCTTTTATAATTTAAGCATCATTATAGCTAATACAATATATCATGCGGGAAATTAAATCTACTAATTATTCTCTTATTTAACAATAAAATGGGGAAACTAAGATTTTGGAAATAATTTAGCAGTCAGTTTAGTCTTCATAAGATAATTTTTACTTTTACTGATTTATTTTGTAAATTTTGAAAGTGAGCTTCGTTCAGAAAAGTGGATTATTTTCAAAAACGGGAAAGTGAGTTTTGTCTCGAAAACGCGACAAATGCAGGATATGTTCCAAAATGGAAAAATGTCTTAGAAACGGTCAAGGGTTTGAATATAAAAGAACTCCTATTTTAATATTGATTTAAGAAAATAGTTTTAAATTGAGATTTTTTTGTCGATTGTCATGCTCATAATAAAATGACGATTATAGATTTTACTATCGACTTTTACTCTTGATGGGTCGGGATCCTAAAAACCCAGTCTTTCAATTTGTGCCAAGTATTAGTTTTGGAACTAATGTCCACTGACTTTAATACGACTAATACGACAGCTATAATTTTACAAGTTAGGAGGTTCAGTGAAAATTCATCTAGAACTTTTGGTTATAGTTTTTACTGGCGACGGGTTCCCTGGATCTGGGTCGGGTTCCCTGTACCCAAGTCTTTCAATTTGTGTTAGTTTTGGAACTATTGTCCCCTGAGGTTAACATCATCCTCCTCGTCAACTACTACATAGTACAGATCTTCAACCTTCTGGTGTCAATAGTGGTAAGTGAAGGGGGCGGAAACGTCATGGGGGTGTGTCTGTACCAAAAGAGTGTGTGTAAAGTTTACCGAACCGAATGTGTGTACTGTAGGTATATACAGTACATAAGAATCTCAGTATTTATACAGTCTAGGAGAGTACATTTGTTTATTGTTAATTGTTTACTTCAAAATAAGTTTTATATACATGTATATCATATATTTTAGTCAACACTATAAGCCAAATTATCATACAAAGAATATAATTTGATTAAAGTTTACAATAAACTAGTCGTTATTCAACAGGGGAATTTTTGTTCCTTTTTTCAGAAAAGCTTTTCATTAGCATGCTTACGGGAAAGAAACCCTAGTGCAAAACAGGAAAAATATCTGTCTTAATAAACTATAATGTGTGAAAAGTTAAAAATCTAGATTTTTAGTCTTCAACATTAATTTTGACTCTTTTTGAGTCTTTTAAGTCAAAAAAAGTTTCCCCTGCGGCGTGATTTTTTGTTCCTAATTATGAATTTTTTTGTTCCTAAAAAATCTTCCCCCCCCCACCTCACTTAAATCCTGCATCTGCCCCTGTTAATCATAATTGACAACATTGTTCTGCAATTTGCTTGACTGTAGTCATGTTGTGTGTCTGTACCAAAAGAGTGTGTGTAAGGTTTACCGAACTTATCTGCAAAGCAGTACAAAAATAGTGTCCAAATGGTTTCAATTTTAGTTAAGTTAAATTTTGAAAATGCGGAAAAGAATATTATTAAATGAGCGTATATATCAAGAGTTCTATTGCAGGCCTTACTGTACATGTGGGTTTCCAGCATTGGCCCACTGCCTGAAATGGTTGGTCACGTGATTCTTTCCTTCTTCACATATCTTTCTCTGATGGCTGTAGGGCTAAATACTATCCAAGCTGTTTTAAGGCTTCTCATGGTTCTCCAGGTAGATAGATATAACCCCAAGGCGTGCAGACGAAAAGAAATGGTTTAATTTTATAGCTATAATTCAACAAAGAAAATATCTTATTTTAATAAAGTCTGTGTCTACTATAAACCTATGCAGAGTTAGGGTTCAACTTTACCACTCTTGAAATTATGGGAAAGAGAGGTTTTCTATTGCAACAAAATAAAGAAAATATATAATGACCCTGTATAATTGACCTTAGTTTCCACGCATGCTGGAGTACGACCCAGTTGACACAGGAAGATATATTCTGCTGGCTGATCTAATCTTCTATCTACCTGCAGTAAGCTACTTGCTCGTTTCAGGTCAAACATTTTCTCATAAAGGGACTGTAAACGTACTTTTAAGTGATCCTTCATGCTAAGATGGCCAGGCCTGATTTACAACGGTACCCTTGAAAGTCTGATCAAGTATAAATTAGATATCAATGTTTCATGTTTCTTTAAACTTTTCATTTTCATTTGGAGTTTCTCTGTGAAAGTGACTTGCGCATTTCTTGTTTTAAACAAATATTAGAAAAACTCACAGCTATGGAATAAACAAGCCAGTATCTTCAATATTTTTAATCAGGATCAAGTGTCAAGGGTATCGTTGCAAATCGGACATTGCCATTTTGTATGGAGGGCCACTTGTAATTACGCTTACAATCCCTTTAATTCCTAATTTCCCGAAGGTTTTTCTAGAGTTTGTACTGCATTTATTTGATAGTTTTGATGCATTATATTCATCTTAGCACATTAGTGATAATAAAAAAACTCTGAAATGAGAAGAAGACTTTTTGATCAAGTTATAACTTTAGAAAGTCCAAGGAGCATGAGAAATAGCAGTTGTGCAGTGTAAACAGACCCATTTTACTAAATTAGTCATTTAATAAGTAACTAGTAAAATTATTTGCTTTTTAACAACAACAAATTCACTTAAAGGGAGTGACTGGCTACGTAAGGTAGTTGCACTGAGTATGCAGTGTTGTTGAAAACTTCTTTCGGATTCATTTGAGACATGTAAAACTTTTTTAAGATCTGTAAATCCTGAGTTTGAGTGCAAATTCGATGTTCAAAACTCCTACTTTGGGGGTGGATACGTTTTCAGAATTAGTTTCTTTTTAAAATAAAGTAAAAATTTTACAGTAATCTAATTAGATGGTTAGGAACATATTTCTCAAAAGAAATTTGTCATTAAATTAATGATAGAATCAATTATTTCGTTTTCATCATTATATTGAATTTCTTATTTTCTTTGAACTTATTCTCAGATTTCTTCAAATTCTTCAAATGTGGTCTTTTCAATAATATTCCAGAAAATCTGCAGAAAATCTTTGTGAATAATGAGAAAATAGAAACTAATAATTGAAAAAGATTACTTATTTTCGATGATAAGATTAATTTCTTTTTTTTCAACCTGTTCCTAAACAACTAATATTTTTTACATTTTATGTCGTCGTTATTTAATAATTTAAAAAAAACTAGTTCTGAAAACGTATCCACCCCCAAAGTAGGAGTTTTTTCAAATGAATCTGAAAAAAGTTTTCCACAACACTGCACATACTCAGTTGAACTACCTTACATAACCGGTCACTCCCTTTAAGTATTGCTATACTGTTATCTTCCTTTTCAATTGTTTACCGGTCATCACATGTTTAATGTCCCCCAAAATTAAACCCCTAAATATTTTCAATTTTTATAATTTTTCATATAATTACATTTTGATTTAATTTTTTGCAAACATAAGTTTATATTTTAGGTCAAAAATCTCCACATCTCGGATTTATTTGTGGTCTACCAGTCTCCTCACATCACAATGTAGCTCAGCTGTTCCATATCGTGAATATTCTTACAGCCGCTTCTGCTATCACTTTCGTTTATTGCTTTAATACTTGGTATCTAAAGCAGAAACATGCCGCTCTCATAATACACGAATGCCCAGTCAGAAGCTCAAAAGGGAATCTACTAAGCTTGAAAAAACTCCTTCTTGGAATAATTCTGATCCTGATTCTGATAATAGCGGTGATTCTCATACAAACTCTTGGCCAAGGAAAACATAACAGTATAGTTCAAAGGCTCCTCACTTGCTGCGTGTTGACCGTTCTTAACATCTACTATGCTCAAAACGAGAATGTGTTTGAAATGGTGGAGAACGCAATACAAAAAATTGAGGCGAGGTTCGAGTTCACTGCTATCTATTCCAAAGCTAGTTTGTTTGTAAGAAACAGAAAAGTTACACCGGGTTTGGCCTAAAAGCTGACAATTAATTGTTTAAAGGGACAGTAAGCGTTTTCAAGTGAATCTCCTTCCATAAAAAGATTCACAACGGTACCCTTTAAAGCTTTGGCTGATCAAGTGTAAATTATATGTCAAAGGTTATAAATTTATTGCTCTCTTTGCATGGAGGAACACTTGAAATTACGCTTACAGTCCCTTTAAGTTTTCTTTATTTTCTTAATCTCATAAAAGGTTTTCAATTTATCATCGAAATCCCAAATTTGTCTGCACTGCACACGCGTCGATTACATTTTTATATCTTCTAAAATTTCCATGGCCCACATTTCAATTCTTTCCATTTTTCAATCCTATTATTATCTGAAACTGTTCTCATCATTTCTCTTATATCATCTAGATAACTCGACAGTTAATACGTCAAATTAGTGTTGTTAAAGGGAGTGACCGGCAACGTATGATGGTTGAACTGAGTTTGTAGTATTGTAGAACATTTTTCTAGGATTCATTCGAGACATATAAAACGTTTCTACGATGTATAATTACTGAGTTTGAGTGCAAAGTTTACGTTCAAAATCATGAATTTGGGTGGGTACGCTTTCAGAATCTTTTTTTTAAATTATTGAATAACGACGACAAAAAATAGAGCAAAAGCTATTTAGTAAACTAATTATTATATTATAAAGATTTATTCACACACAAAGATATAAATACATATATAAATGGTGTAGTTAAAATTTGTTTAAATAAATTTTTTTAAAGGAGAACTCTCGACTAAGTGTATCCAGAACACAGGTTTTATCAGCAACTCTATCAAAAGCATAAAACATTGATCCTAAAATTCCATCAACTAGAATCATTTTCCCAGATCTTGTATCTTTATAAAGGAAGCCTTGATGACTGGCTTGTTCCTTTACAGTGGTCTCACTATCCATTTCCTCCAGGGAAGTATTTAAAGAATTATCCATATATTTGTCAAAAGAAATTTGTCAATAAATCAATGTTAGAATAAATTATTTCGTTTTAATCATCTATTGAATTTCTTATTTTCTATGAATTTGTTCGCAGATTTCTACAAATTCTTCAAATGTCGTTTTTTCGATTAAAATTCCAGAAAATCTTGAGAAAATTTTTGGGAATAATGAGAATGAGAATAAGAAACTAATAATTGAATAAGATTACTTATTTTCGATGATAAGCGTTAATATTTATTTTCTCAACCTGTTCCTAAACAACTGATAAGTTTACTGTAGAATTTTTGTTACATTTTTTTGTCGTTATTAAATAGCTTTAAAAAAACCGATTCTCAAAACATACCCACCCAAATTCATGATTTTGAACGTCGACTTTGTACTCAATCTCAGTAAATATACGTCGTGGAAACGTTTTATATGTCTCAAATAAATCCTAAAAATGTTTCCACAATACTACATCTTCAGTTCAATCACCTTACATTGCCGGTCACTCCCTTTAATCGTTTTTAAAAACAGTAGATTTTTGTGTTGTTTTTTCTTAAAACAATATGATCGTTTTTGAAAAAACGATGAGGTTACAACGGTCTTTTTTAAAAGCGATCGTTTTTGAAATCTGAGTTTTGCAAAGATTATATGGCTTATTAAATCAGTTATTTGTCTCTGCTCTTAATTATACCATAACCCTATTCCTGCTGGGGGTGTCCTTGAGACCCCCCCCTGACGTGTTTGAAGATAATTTAAAAAATATTGGTCTGAGGCTGCTCAATTTTTTTAAAACTTTTCCTTCAAACACATCAGTAACGCTATCAGTAATACAAATATTACATCAGTAACTCAATGTTTAATGTTTCTTAAATTGAAATAAATGGATTGTTGTAAATATTTATTGCTTCATTGAAATATGTTATTATTTTTTTTTCATTTCTTTGCCGAATTCAAAACATTCAAATACAAGTGCAGTTAATAATCTGGAATCTATATTAACAACATAAATGATTCGAATTTAAAATAATCAAGGGTTGTGTAAAAAGTTTTATTTTTCAACTGAGTTTTTTTTTGTGATTTGCGCATTTCTGCTTTAAAACATCATGTTGGAAATATTCAAAGTTAAACTCTGATCAAGGACCTTTCAAATCATTAATAGATAAAGATTTAAAGAGAACATTATAAAAACAATTCTTTTCATATGCATTGATATTTGAAAATGGAGTACATGGCCTGTACAATTAGTAAAGGATTAGCGTACACAATCACTCTATGTACCATAATCTCGTTTCCTTTTGGCTGTGGTTCCTCCAAATTCCGCAAAGTAGTTAAACAAGGTTAAAAACATTATATAATATCAAGATTGTAATATAAACTAACAACTTACAAAGAAATATTTTAATTTAAATTAGTTTTGTTAGAAAACAATACTAAAAATATCTACAATTTTTAAAACTTAAAACCATTCGTGTTTTTTCGGAATGAAAAAATGTAATTGTTATTTTTTATATTTTAACAATAAGAACAAAACAAATGTTTTTTTACCAAGACCCTTTCCTAATTTGTTATTTAATGATCGTTATTCACTTTACAGGGCCTCTGAATCTTTGTATGGACGAGGGGGGGGGGCGTCCCACGCCCTCTCCTTGAAAAAGGCCTTAGAGAATAGGTATAGGGGTGAAATGCATGTTAATAGCCCGATTTTTCAAGGCCAGCTCATAAAAAAGATTTAGTTTGATAACTTTTATAGTTTGGGTGCTTGAGAGGGTTGAAAGATATGCCAAAAAAGTTCAAAAAAATGTAAAAATATTTTTTTTAGTTTACAACAAATATCAAAGTGTGACACATGTTTCTACATCCATTTTTTAAGGGCTTTTCAAAAATATAGTTTTTAGATCTACAGCTTTAGTCATAAAAAAGTCATGTACACCACTGTATAAAATTTGAAAATAAATATCTAACAAATCTTAATGAAAGTAAGAGAGAAGCTTTTAAAAAATCTCAGTCAAATTTTGAAAAATGCATTTCTAAATAGTAAAGAAAGGAACACCTGGAGCTAAAAAAAAGCTAAATTAAATTAAATCAAATCAAATTAAAAGTTAAAATATAATAAAACATGTTACATTTACCTCCCCATGGAAAAGAAAGAGAAGGTATCTCATCCCTCGAATTCACCAATAATATACTGTGAAATGGAGGTTGCATTATTTCGTAAAAAAGACTGAGGGGTACAGACGAACCGCACAAGCAAGAAACTGATTTAGTGTACTTTATAACATCAAATATACTGATTAGCAAAATTTATACTAGGGTTTGAAAAATGTACTAGTGTGTAGAAAACAATGCTAATGTGTATCAAACTGTACTATTGTGTATTACTGTACTATTGTGTACTGTACTATTGTGTAGAAAACAATGCTACTGTGTAGAGAACTGTACTAGTGTGTATCAAACTGTACTATTGTCTAGAAAACTGTACGATAGTGTAGAAAAATACTGTAATGAAGAAAACTGTACTATATTGTAGAAACTGTACTATTGTGTAGAAAACTGTACTATAGTGTAGAAAACTGTACTATTGTGTAGAAAACTGTACTATTGTGTAAAAAACTGTACTATAACTGTACTATAGTGTAGAAAACTGTGTGTAGAAAACTGTACTATAGTGTAGAAAACTGTACTATTGTGTAGAAAACTGTAATAGTGTGTAGAAAACTGTACTGTAGTGTAGAAAACTGTATTAGTGTGTAGAAAACTGTACTATAGTGTAGAAAACTGTACTATAGTGTAGAAAACTGTACAATTGTGTAGATAACTGTACTAGTGTGTAGAAAACTGTAAAATTGTGTAGAAAACTGTATTATATTGTAGAAAACTGTACTATAGTGTAGAAAACTGTACTATTGTGTAGAAAACTGTACTATTGTGTAGAAAACTGTACTATAGTGTAGAAAACTGTACTATAGTGTAGAAAACTGATAGTGTTCAGAAAACTTTACTTTGTTTGTATTGCATGTAAAGTGAAGAAAATAAATTGTTCCCGGAATTGTGATTATTGATTTGACAAGAATTGGTTTAATAAAAGTAAAAAAAAATAATAAAAGTAATAAAACATGTGTTCTTTAAAAAAGAGATGTCACGAAAATAAAGTTGAAATCGGTTGAACCAGAAAAACAAAATTTGTGGCTGTAATCCATGTTAAATTTCCACACCTTACTTCGTTGTTTCTGAAGAAAGAAATTTGCAAGTTACGTTTGGAGAGTAACAAAATAAGAACAGTTTTCTTTAAATAGAAACCATTGCTATCTTATTTCATTCTTTATCATAGTGCACAGCTTTTGAGGGTGCCATAGGTAATTAAACATTTCATCGGTAATTAAACTTCAATAAAGGGACTGTAAGCGTAATTTCAAGTGACCTTACATGCAAAGATGGCAATGCCCAAACAGGTTGTCAAGTACTTGACAATCTATTTGTCAATGCTTGACAATCTATTTGGCAATGCTTGACAATCTATTTGTCAATGCTTGACAATCTATTTGGTAATGCCCGATTCACAACGGTACACATAAACGCTTTGTCAGATCAAGTATTAATTAAATATCAACGATTTTAATTTTGAAAACTGTTAATTTTCAAATGTGGTTTCTCTACAAATATCCATTTCTACTGCAGGACAGCATATAGAAAATACCAGAAAGAAACCTAGAAAAGCTACAATATCTTCCACATTGTTGTATTCATGATTCCCTGAGACTACTTTAACTTGTTTCTTTCTTTGCCACATCATCAATTAATTAAACCTCGGGATCATCTTATTTAAAGAGTTTCAGGTCGTCTTTAAAATCTCATCCTTTGTGGGTAATTCTGTAGGTTATTAAATTGACTTTTGTTTGGCACAGCTAAGAAATTTTATCCTATAGTTTTAATCTGGATTGAACCTTGAATGAGTCCTGAGATAATGTTGTTAGAAAGTCTAGAGTCACTTCCAAGAAATGAAAAAATCGTTTTGCCAAAAATTTCGCATTTTTTACATTCCCTGTGTAGAAAAAAATGCAAAAATTAATTTTTGTGAAAAAGTTTGTGAATTAAATACTACAACACATTTTTTGAAAAAGTTTTTGTTCGCTGGAAACCTTAGTTCCAAGTTTGCAAAAGATTCTTTTGCTCAGTTGAACATGATGACAGATGAGAGAGAACTCCAGATAATTGCAGAGTTTTCAATTCATTGAACCAAAGTAGGTGAAAATTGGGTAAAAATCTTGTAAAAAAGCTCTGAAAAAAAATAATTTTTTCTTCTGAATTTCTGAGCTCTCACATGTACTCTCCAATATAATCCCAAATTTCAGTGTGCTTCAGATTACAGCAGTAAAAACCGAAATCATTGTTCAGGGTGTTCGGGGCCAACATTGGAGTTTGTTCCTGGGTTACCTCAACTATTGATTGCTGGGTTCTAACAAGATTACCTCAGCTATTGTTTGCTGGGTTCTAACAAGATTACCTTAATTATTGTTTGCTGGGTTCTAACAAGATTAAGTCAACTACTGTTTGCTGGGTTCTAACAAGATTACCTCAGCTATTGTTTGCTGGGTTCTAACAAGATTACCTCAACTATTGTTTGCTGGGTTCTAACAAGATTACCTCAACTATTGTTTGCTGGGTTCTAACAAGATTACCTTAACTATTGTTTGCTGGGTTCTAACAAGATTACCTCAGCTATTGTTTGCTGGGTTCTAACAAGATTACCTCAACCATTGTTTGCTGGGTTCTAACAAGATTACCTCAACTATTGTTTGCTGGGTTCTAACAAGATTACCTTAACTATTGTTTACTGGGTTCTAAGATTAATGAGACAGTAGAGACAAAGAAACGTTATTCAGCAACGTTAACGTTGACATGTATTCAGCAATGTGAACATTAAACATGTATTCAGAAATGTGAAAGTTAAATGTGTATTCAGCAATTTTAACGTTAAATGTGTTTTCAGCAATGTGAACGTTAAACCTGTATTCAGCAATGTGAACGTTAAACGTTAAACCACTCTACAGAACTATCTCTGTAATCAATTCCATAGGAATTGTCATTTTGTAAATTTTTTTCAGCATGTCACGTTATTTGGGCCTCTATTTAACCAAACTGATACAGAAAAATGTGGAAACCATGTTATTAATTGATATGGAAAGGAAAATAAACTTTTTTAGATTTGCTGTTGTCATGAGAAAATATACAAATCACGATTAGCTGAGGATATTTAAGAATGGTCGAATACAGAATTGATCAGTTGCTTCTTAGCTTCTCATCATGAAGTTAACAGTAAGAAATCAATCTTAAATATAACATTAACATACCAACTTTATCTAGAATATAACATTAACATACCAACTTTATCTAGAATATAACATTAACATACCAACTATATCTAGAATATAACATTAACATACCAACTATATCTAGAATTAATAAAAGTTTTTTCCTGAAAATAGAATTATCAATCTAACTAACATCAATGTAATGTTCTGAAATTTTAAGTAAAAATTTTTTTTTCCACATATTGAATTTTTTCTTAACAAAATGAATATTTTAATCTCACTAACCAATGTTAAAAAATAACATTTTGTTCTACAAATTTTCAAATCTCATACCCTGGTTCAAGAAAAAAATTCTGAAAATAGAATTTAAAAATCTTTTAATCACTTGTTTGAAAATAAAATTTGAAATTTTTTATTTTGGATTTTGAAATCTCACTACCGCCAATACCAGAGTTTGAAAATAAAATTTGAAAGGTTTTCTTTGAGATGTTCCTCTCTCCCCAACTAAAAAAGACCTTAAAGTAAAATTAATTCATGTCATAACCTTAAATTTTAAAACCACTATATTTAAAAAGCCAACAAATTTCAAACATTCTGTGCGAAGATTTTGTTGCCTTTTTGATTCAAAATATTACATTTTTGTGCTTATTTATGTCTGACTGCGCTTAACCCTATTCAGACTGACGTCTCCTTTAACCAAAATTATTATTATTATTTTTTTTTTTAAACTCTATTCAAGCTGATGTCTGGTTTACTCAAAATTGTGGGGGTTCTTTGGGGGGGGGGTTCCCCGTCTTTTTCCTTATTGTGATATAAATCTTCAACATTTGATACACTTCCCGCTTTCAGCTAAAATGAGGGGCTTGTGTTTATAGAAAATAAAAAAAATTGAACAACCTCAGACTGCAATACTTTTTAAGTTATCTCCCAAAAATGTCAGGGTGGGTTGTTGGGGGGTTAGTAGGGACCCGGAACATCCCCCACCACCCTGCTGGAATAGGGTTAAATTACGGTAAAATAATTTTGCACAATTTGTGTGTTCACTTGCTAACAAAAATTTGTTAACTTTTTGCGCAAGGCGGAAATGGAATTGTATTAAATTTTTGAAACACTAGGATAATATTTTTGGAGAAAAAAGATGAGTACACAATTTCTATATTTGACTTTGGAATATTGATAAAAGTGTGTGTTGGATGGGCTAAAATCCATTTGTTTCCATTAGCGATTTTTCATTTATAGATAAAGACTAATGCGTCGTTTTGAAGATTAACAATGGAAAAATATTAACCTACCATAATGTTTTAAATATGAAAGGAACCAAACAAAAGGGGGATATCAATATTCTAGTATTCATCAATGTGTAGATGGTGGTTTACACTGCCAATACATTACAGAGACAAAAATGCCCTTGGTCCAAACTCCACTTAACTGCTTAGTGCCTTAAATGTCCCAAAACCAACAAAATGTGGTTTTTGATTAATCCCTGTAAATTAACAAAAATGAAAACAATTCAAGCCAAAGAGGAGAAATCAGTGTTAGCCATTCTCACAGAGTTTAGAGAAAGGGTTACTCGCAAAGGATGAGACTGTAAAGACGACTTAAAACTCTTTAAATAAAGAGATATTGATATAGTGTTTAAATTAAGTTTTCTGCCTTATAATATAAGAGATCAGACAGTAAAAATTCCGTATAGTTGTCTCTGAAGTCTCATCCATTTTGGATTACCCTGTCTGTCAATATGTCTTCTTACAGTTTTTATATTTATATTTTTCAACAGTGCTACTGTGTTTTAAACACAACATTTTCCAAATATAAAATGTTTTAGATTGTTATCGCTTCCTGCTTGTTTGCCTTGGCACTAGGAGATGCAAGCTATGGTGGTGGTCAAACCCTCGGAGAAGGAAGAATTGCACTCAATGCAGGCGGAGGTCATAGACACCATAGTCCAGGTGTAAGTTCTGACAGATCGCGCAGTGGACATGGTGCTAGTCATGGATATGTCACCAACTCAGCTAAACCTTCACCTTTTCATAGTAATGGATCCCGTTTCGGTAATAGAAGGGGACATGAAGGTGAGCATGGATATTTGAAAAGATCAGCTGAACCTAGCTTTGGACATGGATTTCATCATAACAGGCTCATGCGCTCGGCTGAAACCAAACCTGGTAAACATGGAAATTTGAAAAGATCAGCTGAACCTAGCTATGGACATGGAAATCATCATAGCAGACTTATGCGCTCAGCTGAAACCAACCCTGGTAAACATGGATATTTGAAAAGATCAGCTGAACCTAGCTATGGACATGGAGATCATAATAACAGACTTATGCGCTCAGCTGAAACAAAACCTGTTAATCATGGATATTGGAAAAGATCAGCGGAAAAAAGCCATGGACATGGAGGTCATCATAACAGACTTATGCGCTCAGCTGAAACCAACCCTGGTAAACATGGATATTGGAAAAGATCAGCTGAACCTAGATATGGACATGAAGGACATCATAACAGACTTATGCGCTCGGCTGAAACCAACCCTGGTAAACATGGATATTGGAAAAGATCAGCTGAACCTAGATATGGACATGAAGGACATCATAACAGACTTATGCGCTCGGCTGAAACCAACCCTGGTAAACATGGATATTGGAAAAGATCAGCTGAACCTAGCTATGGACATGAAGGTCATCATAACAGACTTATGCGCTCGGCTGAAACCCCGCTTGGTAAATATGGATATTGGAAAAGATCAGCTGAACCTAGATATGGACAAAGTGGTCATCACAGACTTATGCGGTCAGCTGGCGGACATAGTGGGTTCAGCCAGGAAAGCTTAAGCTTCTAAGGATAGAGCTTTTGGACAAGAAAATATTGGATTCAACTTTATAAATTGTATCGTCAGTAAATTGTAAAATGGATCTGAATAAAAACTTATTTCCAAACCTTTCAATGCACATCTGTTGATTATTAAACCTTTCAATGCACATCTGTTGATTATTAAACCTTTCAATGCACATCTGTTGATTATTAAACCTTTCAATGCACATCTGTTGATTATTAAACCTTTCAATGCACATCTGTTGATTATTAAACCTTTCAATGCACATCTGTTGATTATTAAACCTTTCAATGCACATCTGTTGATTATTAAACCTTTCAATGCACATCTGTTGATTATTAAACCTTTCAATGCACATCTGTTGATTATTAAACCTTTCAATGCACATCTGTTGATTATTAAACCTTTCAATGCACATCTGTTGATTATTAATACTTTCAAAGAGTGGAGAAATTAGGAAACGAAGTTTTTTTGTGAACTTTTACATATCATTGTTTCTTTTACCTGCGCACTAATAACCTTTCTAATTTGGTCAAAAAGAAATTGCAGCTTTTGACAGGTTTAACAAAAATTCGAAGTCTGATTTATTTACACAATTTTACATTAATTAGATGCAACACAAACAGACAAGCAAAAATAGGTAGACACCAAATTTTTTATAGGGTAAAAGCAATTATTACATTAACTGGGTCTGTCCTAGTATAAAAATAAAAAAAAAATCCAAGGTTTAAAATTTGGTTGTGTGTTATTTGGACCTTCAAAAATGACTGAGATATTAAGAATTAAAGATCAAAAAAATGAATCTATGTAAGAAAGTCCCGTGAAAAAAGTTTCTGGAAAAAAAACCTAGAAATAAAAACTTTGGAAAAAAGTCCGAATTTTCTCAAGTCCTTGGAAAAAATGTCACTGGAAATAAAGTCCTGTGTTTTTGATTCCCGGGAATTTTTTTTCCTAAAATAGTATGGGGGCTTCCAATAAAGTCTCAGGAAATAAGATCTCAGGAAAAAAAGTCCTGAAGAAAATAAATCCGAGGAAAAGAAAAACCTAGAAAAAAAGTCCTAAGTCTCGGGAAATTTGAACTCAGTAATTTAAGTCTGCGGAAAAAAAGTCCTAAGAAAAGTTGTGTATAAAATCCCCCGTACAAGTGTACTATGTACATCTTATACAGGGCTAGTTTTATATTCTTAAGTAATATGGAAAAGAAAATGCTAACTAAACTCGTGATAAATATATACATATGTAATGAATATATTTTATATTTCTTTTTTGAAAATTATTTACCCTTTTTTCCATATGTAATTTGGAAAATGAGTTTTCATGAAAAGGACTTTTTTCCATATTGAATATATATAGCCAGGGGTGTTTAAATATCAAGCCCCTTAAAACCTACGATTATTGATAGGATGTTTACAACCAGGACTTTTTTCATAGTGAATCATGCATTTTCACTTATTAGAGGACTTTTTTTCCCGAGGACTTTTTTGTATAAAATCATACTGGAGCCAAAAAAAGTCCTAGAAAATAAAGTCTCGAATTGGTAGGACTTTATCTCCGGAGACTTTTTAATAGAAGGACTTTTTTTCCTCAGGACTTTTTTAGTGTGAAAGTTTAGGACTTTTTTCCGGAAACTTTTTTTCCAAGGGCTTTTTTGGCGGGTACCAAAAATAAATATGTATGGTAGTATGTAACACAAAAATTATTTTTAGTATTCATGCATTATGCATGAATACTAAAAATAAATTCAGCTTGTCTTAGACATTTTCAGAGAAAAGTATGCACCTATTATTTCAACAGTAATACCCCCAGTGAATTTAATGAAGTTGTGGAAAATTTTGAATCAAGAGTTTAAAAATCCGGATGATGTCGATCCAAATTTATTGACAGTTTAGATGTTAGATTTGAACAGGAAAAGGAACAGGAAGAGTTCAAGTTCGGCAGGAAAAGGTTGGTTTTCAAATTACTGTTTGAGGGAACGGGGGGTGTTCCAATAAGAAAGAGAAGTGAAACTTTAATTAGATTTTTGTTGATTTATTACGGACTAGCTGAAGTGTGGATTAAAAAAATAATTGAAAAAAAAATATTGAAAAAACCCCCGATTTTTTTAGCTAATTTAACCTCCGGGATACCCATGGGTTCTCTAAAAAAATTCAACCGATTTGGTCCAGCTGTTTTGCCAGCTAAAGCTAACAATAAAAAAAATAAATAATAGAGGGCTGCCAAGGTTATTTAAAGTGCCTCCCAAGTTCCCGGCCCAATCAAAATTTGAGACAACTCGGTCGAGGGGTTCCTGAGTTATTATCGGACGAGCAAACAGACACACAAACAGAGATTAAAACTTTATAGATATACTAGCTTGGGAACCCAGCGTTGCCCAGGTTACTAAAACTTCTTCCCCTGTTTTACCCGCAATTGAACGATTTTACCGGGAAACTAAATTTTCGCTATTCAAGTCGACCCACACGACTTAGAATCTCAAAATCAATTGCTATGAACATTTCCGTGCGTCTCCCGAGTTCCCCAATCAAAATTTGCGGCAAATCGGTCGAGGGGTTCCTGAGTTATGATCGGACAAACAAACAGACAAACAGATTTCAATTTTATATATATGGATAGTTTAAAATATCAAAAGTTTACACTTTTGGTTTGCAAAGATATTTCTATTATTTGAGTTTTTGGCAAAAACTCAATTTTTTTTGGGGTTTTAAATCCAATTAAATTGATATCTTAATGCCTACGTTTATTTTTGATGGTACAAAAAAGCAGCCCTGTTCTAGCAAATCCGGAATTTTTGCTGAGTAAATTTACCGGGACGCCCTGTAATCCAACCTGTAGGGAAATGAGGTTTTACAACTTAACACAAATCTAGCAAATAGAGTGGTCCCTTAGTTTTCAAACAAATTTAGTGAAAGGTATGATAATTAGTGAAAATATTATTTCTACTAATTTACAGAAATATCAACAGCTAATGGTTAATGATAAATGATGCAGAGGTTATTTCCTTGTAAACTGATTCTATTTCTATTTGCATCTCAGGGTACGAATATATTTCATTTTATTTACTAGTTCTCAGTGAATAAACCAGATATTTTCGGTTATTTTCGGATATTTTCGGATATTTTCGAATATTTTCGGATATTTTCCCGAAATGAACGTCGTCTGGCTAGAGCATGGCAAATTTCCGTTAACAAAACGAAGGTTATTTAAAATGAGCGGAAGAACCCTATAACTAGGGTTTCCATTCGCAAAACCTCTGCGCAATTTTCGCGAAACGAAACGCTAAATATTTATTTCGTTGCGTAACACTTTTGCACGAAAAAAAGCAATTTGCGCAATCATTCTCATATGTCATTCCGCTTTTTTTGCAACTCTGTTTTTGCACAATTTCGCTTCTTTCGCTTAGGAAAAAGATCATAATTACCAAATGTTATTAGTTAATTGAAATGTCAATTACTTTAAATGATAACCATTACCAAATTTGAATTACCGCTAGAAACCACGAACTGTTGTTGCTTGTTAATGATTAAAGAGACTGTAACCGAATTTTCAAGTAATCATCTAGGCAAAGATGGCAATTTCCATCGAAGCCTTAATCTGATCAAAAATGTTTAATTCTTGTAATTTCTCCCTTGCTTCTTATAAGCAAAAATGCGCAAGTTACTTTTGCAGAGAACCCGCAAATGAAGATAAACAGTTTAAAGAAACAAAAACATGGTTTTAAGTCATACTTGATCAGACAAAGCTTTTAAAGGTACTGATTTTTTTAAATGTAAATTTAGATAAAACATTGATTCTGTGCTGAAACAATATTGGTCAATTTGTTTAATCATATCATGTTTTAAATAAACATTTACTTTTTGCGCAAATCATGCAACAAACAGTTGCGCAAAACTTACTGCGTTTATATGTGCCAAAGTTAGCAAAAAAAGATATTTTGATGCTTTTAAACGACGTCTTCTGATATTCTCTCACTTATTTGATGAATTATAGAATTTTATGCATTTTGACAGAGGCGGCTTATAGGGAGGGGGGAAAGGGGAGACGTCCCCCCCCCCTATAAAACTGGGGGGATTTCCCCCCTTGGAAAAATTAAGAGCACAGAAAGAGAGACCATGCACGTACTAGCCCTTAAATTTTGATTTAAAAAAATTTTTCCCTGCGGCGCCACTTATTCAATCTAAATCAAGATTTTAAATAAAAATCTAAATCTTACTTAATCATTACTCCAGCTGGTGGTTTTGGCATAAAATTGAATAAATTCCCTATACAAAAATCCAGGGGGGGGGGTATTTCACTAAATTTTTTTTAGCCAATTTGGTTCAGTTCTTTCAGCCAAAAGCTTTATTCATTAAACAATACGCATACTTTTACACGCCGTTCTATAATTAAGTTAATCTTTTTATTTTGTTGGGTGCGGGGGGAGG